GGGAGTATATACACTAGACATTACCGGATGTGGAGTAAACATACTAGGCTATAAGGAAATTCAGCACTAATCCGCACGGGTAGCTCAGTTGGTTGAGTGACGGAAAATTTGGAACAATGACCAAGGTTCGAAACCCGCAACGGCCGTGTGGAGGTTACAGCTCTTGCGTGCTGGGCTGGACCTCTGGTGCGCACAGGTATAAGGCCTACCACCATTGGGCCGACTGAGTCACCGTGGCTTACTCCTTCATCATCCCGTCGGGTCGGGATGTGGGGCTCTTGTAGTGGAAGATTCCACCTTTTTGGAACAAGGAAATTCAGCACTAATAAGTGAAAACTTCCTTATCTTATCTGTACCTAGACATAGATATTTGATATTTCTCCCAAGAAGTATGACTAGACAAAATAGACAGATTGAAAGAAACTCACTGGCCGAAAATATAAAAAATGTAAAAATTTACCAACCATAGTAATGACCGAAACGGAAGAAACATGCTGAAATATGTGTAGTTGGCCGAAATTAAACCGACACAAATTGATCAAAAATAGCCAAATCGAAAGTAGCTAAACATACTTAATTACGCACGTTGCCTAATTATGCATTTTCAAACTTTAATGACCATACAAAATCAACGACAGCAAATCCACGAAGATCATAATTAAGCGCACCGCATTTTTTTCTAAACCTGAGGCGGTGAGGCTAAATGTTGTTTTGGACAATATTAGTGTTTTTGCCACTTTCCGCCCTTTCTTGGTCTACTCATTTATAGATAGTATAAAGTGAAAGGGTGTCCAGTTAACACTATTGGATAGAAAAATAAGTTAGTATATATACACTCAAAGATATTCACACAGATATACGCACAAACAACATGTTTTAGTTACAAATTACATTTCCTACTCCGATTCCATTTGGTTTTGTCTAATTTCTTAGTTATCTCAAGAACTTCAATTCCTCATTTGAGTAATTAATTTGTAAATCTGCTCATTTATCTCTCTGATGATGCATTAATCTCAATATTACAATTTTTAATTTTCTTATTTATCGTCATCAAAGTCAAAGCTGTGTTGTAAGAACCGGACTGGAGAGCGACCCGGACAGATGATCGGGTCACGGGTCAACCTGGACCCGGCGGGTCAACCCGGTCAACGATCGGTAAACCCGGTCAACAACAATACATATACTCCCTCTGTCCCAGAAAATTCTTCCCACTTTGGCTTTGCACGGAGATTAAGAAAGTGGAATAAAGTGGAAATGTATGGTTGTGGTTGTGTAAGAAAAAGGTGAAATGAATGTGAACCACACAAATTGTCCAGAAATGGTAAGTGAGAAGGATTTTTTGGGACGACCCAAAAAGGAAAGTGAGAAGAATTTTATGGAATAGAGGGAGTAATCAATTAATTATATTAAAGATTAAATTCTTTTTTTTTGAAAGTATTAAATTCATTATTAATTAATTATATTAAAGATTAAATTCTTTAAAATAGAGTCAAAGGTGTCGATAATGAAATGAGATAAATAGTTTTTTCAGAAAACCCGACTATTCATACTTCATAGTACTACATGATGTTACGTGGAAACGAGTGTTCTTTGTAATTGTGAATGAGTGTTAAATCGACACATATGAAACACATGTTCCATTTTCATAATATAATTAAATAATATTGATTGAGCAAATTCGACCTACGTTTTATTTTGCTTAAAGAGTTGTTGTTAATCTTCTCAAACGAGGTAAGAGTTAGAATTTCTGCCGTGATCCTCGATTAGAATTCTTGAATTCCATTAAATTTTGAGTGACCAATTAAGAATTCTAATTGTTTCATTAAAATTTAGGTTTCGTCAATTTTCGGTGGATTTTCATGATTATTAGCTAAAAAACACTTCAAATATCCTTATTAAAACCCAACCACTTATATTCGGATTCTAATTTTTTGTCAGTAGCAAGTCCAACAATGCTGATATAATAACCTATCATATTGTGGAGTTAGCGATCTGGATCGGCCTTTTGGGACTAGCTAGTTTTATGTCTCGCTCCAAGATTGCTCCGAGCTATTGCTCTGCTTTGTCCACTGTTTATACATGATCCACCATAATTATATATTGAGTGAGATTCCGGTGACAACACTTTTTAACGTGAGAAATGAGAACGCTCTAAAATGATGCACATTATGGTTCACGAAAATGCATATTTATAGTTAAAGTAATGCAAAATTCATATGTGCACATTTACGTTTTAACATTTGCACAATTTAAATGCCCATTTTCAAAATTTTTATATGCATATTTGTGTGTTTATTTGATGCACGATACCGAAATTTAAAACTCTAGAATCATTCTTATTTCTCTCCTAAGATGGTATTCTCATATGATCATTACTCCATCTCTCTCCACACACACACACACCAACACACACACCCACACCCACACCCACACCCACACACACTTATATTACGTATATAAATGAATAAAAAACATGCAAGTAAGATAAATTAAATCTATATGAGACATCTGTGGGGGACAACAAGGTGACCGGGTGAGGCAGGGAGGGCAGATCTAGGAATTAGGAGGAACGGGGGATGAAATGGGGATGTTGAAGACAAGGAGCGGGGATGAAGGGTTAAACCCTGCCTAGGGCGGAGGTGGAGGGGTGGCCAACTGGGCCACCGCCTAGCCAAATTTTATGTGTAAAAATTTATCTGTCTAAATTCTTTGTACCGGCTCAGCCCAACTCTTACTCTTGCCTACGCCCTTGAAGTCCCTGCCCCAAACCTGCCCTGTTGCCATTCCTTATTTGAGTCATATGTAAGGATGTTTTTATTTGGACAATAATTTGTTGGTCTAGTATGGTCTGATCTAGTTTGGTCGGATACATGTCTGGTCTCTGTGTAATTTATAACTACGTTTGAAATGGTCTTGTCCGTTTAAATCTGGTCTGGTCTGATCCGTTATGTCTGATCTGGTGTGAGACTGAAAACGTAAAAACATCCAAAATTTTCCAAATACATTAATTAATATAAAAAATAAAGGATTCAGATCTAGGGGTGGAAAATTCGGTTTACGGTTCGATTTTCTTCGGTTTCGGTGCGGTTTCGGTTTATTCGGGTTGGGAGAATTTGTATCAAAATAAAACCATTTTTGTTTCGGTTTGGTTTCGGTTCTGTTCGGTTTACCAAAGTAAAAAATATTATGTTTAATTTAGTTTGATTTGATTCGTTTGCTTATGTTTATTACTTCATATTTTATTTGATCAAGTTCTCTATTTTAGAATTAGAAAATGAAAGTAGTAGTCCATCTCATCTTTTTTTTAATTTATTGATTATTTAAATAAAATGTAAAAGGAAATAAAAGATAGAAAAATAAATAATAAAATATTATAAATTAAAACTTCTAACATTTTTTTATCACTCCAAAAAATCCACTTCTTGCAAAAAAATAAGATAGTTGATTAACATTTATAATATCACATAAAATATTCAAAAAAAACTAAAAGAGTTGGTGGTACAAATGTTGTAATATTCAAAATTTTATTCAAATGAATCATGTAAAAATATAAATACAATTTTCTATTGTTATCGCCAAACATAATAAATACAAATATGTCTTATTAGCTAACTTTGTCATAATGAATGTATGAAATGTGTAAAAGTTAAAATGATACGAGTATATGCATAAATATGTATTTTCATGTCTAAATTATTTATTTATATCTTAAAAATGAAGAGTGAAGATAAATACAAAGTATGTATGTGTGTGTGTGTGTATATATATATATATATATATATATATATATATATAGAGAGAGAGAGAGAGAGAGAGAGAGAGAGAGAGAGAGAGAGAGAGAGAGAGAGGGGGGGGGGGGAAAGTTCATGTTAGGACCTCCAAAAATGAACCTCCGTACGGACCTCGGCGTTTGGGTTCCTTCCCGGAGGAATTTTTTGATGAAACTTTTTGAACATGTTCTTCATCAAGTCTAGTTTATCCATACCAAATTTCAGCTAAAAATTCCATTGGGAAGACAGTCAAATAATTTTTGGAAGATAACTGCATTTTATATGTATATAAAGTGCGCAGTTAACTTCCAAAAATCATTTGAATGCCTTCCCGATTGAATTTTAAGCTGAAATTTGGTATGGATAAAGTAGTCTTGAGAAGAACATGCTAAAAAATTTTCATCAAAAAGTTCCACCGGGAAGGGGCCCAAGCTTCGAGGTCCGTACGGAGGTCCGTTTTTGGAGGTCCTGACAGGAAGACTTCTCTCTCTCTCTCTCTCTCTCTCTCTCTATATATATATATATATATATATATATATATATATATATATAGTACTCTTCTCGTCAGGCCGGCCTGACGGGAACCTCCGTCCGGCCGAGCCCGTTTGGGCACCTTCCCGGTGGAATTTTTTGATGAAATTGTTTGAGCATGTTCCTCATCAAGTCTAGTTTTTCCATACCAAATTTCAACTCAAAATTCGATCGGGAAGGCATTCAAATCATTTTTTGAAGTTGACTGCGTCAAAATATACATATAAAACTGCAGTCAACTTCAAAAAATAATTTGAATGCCTTCCCGATCGAATTTTGAGCTGAAATTTGGTATGGACAAACTAGACTTGATGAGGAACATGCTCAAAAAATTTCATCAAAAAATTCCACCGGGAAGGTGCCCAAACGGGCTCGGCCGGACGGAGCAGCCCGTCAGGCCGGCCTGACATGAACTTTCCTCTATATATATATATATATGTTGTTCGGTGTTCGGTTTACATTTTTTCCGTTTTAAACCAAACCAAACCAAATCAAACCACCAATTTTAATAATATATGAAAGTTGTTTGAGTTTCTTTAGTTCGGTTCGGTTTTATTCGGTTTTTATCGGTTTCAATTCGGTTCGGCTTAATACGGTTTGGAAGAAATAGTACCAGACTCAAACTTAATTGCATACGGTGCGATTTCGATTCGATTTAGTTCGATTTGGTACGGTTCGGTTAAACCAAACCATTATGCCCACTCCTAATAAGAACTACTACGGAGTAATTTGTACGGAGTAATGGTTTAATGGAAGCGTGGACCATCTTCCATCTGCCATTTAAAGCAGAACAATAAAAGGAAAAAGGAAAGATGAAAAAAAAAAGGAAAGATGAAATGCTTGTATAATGGTTAATTTCCAACCTCGTACGAATCAATACTTTATGGTTTACTGCATTTCCCCAATAAGTTTTGCCAAAACGAGTTAAAAAACGTGGTTTTGACGGCCCCTCTTTTAATGGATACTGTAGCTAGGTTTGCTCTTTTATAGATATTTGTATGTATATATCTATATATATACTCCGTAGAATTTTTGAAAGGAGAGAGTGGGAATATTATTATTGCCGGGTTAGTATATATGGAAATTTTGGTTCTCTGTTCTGAAACACAGGCATACATTGTTTGAGTCACCAAGAAGCCTCTTCATTTTCTGCTTCTTTCCTTTTATGTATGAAGTCCTCAATTTCCCGGTTTTACCTAGGGTTTCCCTTTTCTTTCCAGAAGAGGATAAAATATCTACTGTCCTAGAGATCTTTTTGATTTACCAGGATGGGAGATTATTTGACCTTATTGAAATGAGTTATTTTACCATTTAAGGAAAACATTATATGGTTTGATTTAATTTTAATTTTTTGCAGTTTCCGGGCCGGCCGGCGGGGGCAAAATGGTCAGAGGGAAGGTTGAGGTGGCGAGGATCGAGAACGCGACGAGGCGGCAAGTGACCTTCTCCAAGCGGCGAATGGGATTTCTGAAGAAGGCTCATGAGCTTTCTGTGCTCTGCGATGCCCAAGTCGCTTTGATCATTTTCTCCCAGAAAGGAAAGCTCTACGAGTTCTCAAATTCCAGGTATTTGTTTAACTCCATCTTAAATCCATTTTTTCAATATGTATTTTGCTATATATGGGTATTTTAAATATGTATTTTGCTTCATCTTTCTCTGTTACATTTACTTAAAATAAAAAAATGTTTAATTTATATGTGTATTTTAAAAAGAATATTATCCGAAATAGGACTAAAAAGGTAGGTTTAAAAATTCCAAAATAGAATTGCTATGTTTTTATTCCCAAAATAGGACTAATTACCGTCATGTTTTGGAAGTACTAGACTTCAAACATGACAGTATTTTCCAAACCTGGCAGTAATTACTCATATTTTTAGAATAAAAAACATGACAGTCCTATTTTAGAATTTTCAAACTGTTTTAGTCCTATTTCGGGAACTTTCCCTATTTTAAAATATAGCGTCCGGTTCTGGTGAAAATGGTTATTTCCGTGAGAAATCAGACTGACCTAAAATGGTTCTGGTTTATTTCATGACAATGCATATTTATGAATAAAACAATGCACATTTCAAATTGACGGAAAAAGTTAATTTTTCACAAAAATGTCACCTTATTTTTTAATTCATATTCAGTGCACATAGGGGTGGATTCAGTTAGGTTCCAGAACCGAATGGGAGAATTTTGAACTGAACCGAATTTTCAATTTTTGAAATTCCTTAACCCGCAACCAAACCAAAGTTTAATGAAACCCAATTTTCCGGAAACCGATCTTTGAGGTTGGTTTTTTGGTTTGATGAGAAACTAAATGGATTTAGAAAAACTTGACTATGGCTTGGCATTGAAGCAGCCTTGACCAATTGACCACCTATTCCAAGTCTTTATCGAAGGGGCGAATATATAGAGATATATGAGGAGTAATTGAAGAGGACTGGTAGCAAGCAGGAATTGAACACGTTGTTAATAGTTGGGCTTAAAAGGATTTTATGACTTTGCTGCGGAATATATAATAAATAAATATCACTTAATAAAATATATGTTCGCTTTTGGTTTAAATCGATTTTAAACCTCAAAAAACCATCTTTAAACTGATTCATGTTCAGGTGTCGTTCAAGTCGGTTCGGTTTTCGGTTCTTTCGATTTACAATGCCAGCCCTAAGTGCACATGTCACATTTCTCTTTCACATACTCCGTAATACACAGTTATCAGATCTAACACCACATATTCATTCTCATTTCTGTTCTTAAATCATATTCTCATTTAATTCAAATTATATATTCCCTCATCCTTGAATTATCTGCCAAATTTCTTTTTTTTTGTCTATCCCAAAATTATACGTAGTATCATCTTTCCATTTAAGACAAAGACTTGTTATTGAGATCATTTTTTACTCATTCTTACCAATTTCAAACATTTCTTTCTCTTCTGCATACATCCCCATTGCACAAAATCCACTTTGGAAGATAATTCAGGGACCAAAAGAGTAATACAATATTTAATGATAATAGTAACATTGAGTGTATATATGTACTGCAAAGTACGATTATGAACTGTGTTATATAAGTAGCTATAATGGGCTGGTCTTTCTTGGACCAGTCCATCTTTGATTTTTGATTTTTGTGATACGAGCCGGCGCTTGTCCCGTGCCGTTTGGATTCTGCCATAAAAATCCTCTCTCCCACCTATCCCCGATTGCGGATGGGTGGGGGTGTATGAATGGTTAGATACTATTTTAGTTAGTATAACTAGCTTAATAGTTTTAAAACATTGTACTATACTATTTTTTGGATATATATATATATATATATATATATATATATATATATTTCGGTTCAGGTGAGAAATGCATCTAATGTGAGAAATGAGAATGAATATAAGCCATTGGATTTACGAAGTTGCACTAAACTTGGCTTTATGTTGCAGTAATATTTAAATTTTGCACATGTTGCACTACAATTGTTTCATGTTGCACTAATATTTGACGGCGTTACACCGAAATAGCTTCATGTTGCACTAGACACGTGTAATACGGATTTTTCAGAAGTATTTACAGAAATGCCACCGTGCTAGATTGCATATTTCAGTGCATTATGAAGTGTCTTTTACTGCAGCTTAGTCGAATCCAATGGCTGAGATTCATTCTCATTTCTCACCCAAAGGGTCCTTCTCACCCTATATATATATATATATATATATATATATATATATATATATATATATATATATATATAGAGAGAGAGAGAGAGAGAAATCATCTCATCAGGCCGGCAAAAATCATTTGACGACCTTCCCGATCGAATTTTGAGCTGAAATTTGGTATGGACAAACTAGACTTGATGAGGAACATGCTTAAAAAATTTCATCAAAAAATTCCACCGGGAAGGTGCCCAAACGGGCTCGGCCGGACGGGGCAGCCCGTCAGGCCGGCCTGATGAGAAGAGCTCTATATATATATATATATATATATATATATATATATATATATATATACACACACACACATATATATGTATATATATATATATATATATATATATATATCCAGAAAATAGTATAGTACAATGCTTTAAAACTACTACGTATTAAGCTAGTTTTATATTGAGAAGTGCTCTTAGGCTGAGAACTGCAAAGTTAAACTTGTAGACTAAATATATGAACTTTTAACCAATAAATCATAACTTATAAACCCCTCGAAAATAATTACAAAAATGCCACCGCAAAAAAATAATTACGGAAACCTGGAAATTTTTTTGACGCGGTGGTATTTTTGTAATTATTACGGAGAGCTTTATAAGTTATGATTTATTAGTTATAAGTTCATATATTTACTCTATAAGTTTACTGCATTGTAAGATCAGATGCAAATCCAAGGGCTGAGATTACTTCTTACTTCTCATTTTAAGGGGCACTTCTCACCTGATCTTTTCCCTATATATATGTGTGTACATTTTATCCAAAAAAAAAGACAAAAAAAATACGTAGTATGTAGCTATACATTGATTTGATGATTCTATTAAGTACTCGTACGAGGCTAGCAAGAATGAATCATATAGTTGAACAACTTATGTACTGTGATACTGTTGGTACCTTTTTTTGTATTTTACTGGCATGCCTAGCTGATGTTGATGATGAACTATGCTGCTAAAAATCTTTAATTTACTCTATATGGATCGTGAGATCTAAGAGAATCTAGCTGTGTAATTTTCAATTTTTATGTATTTTTTTATGAGGAATTCAATTTTTATGTATTTGTTATTTGTTTCATATGCAAATATATATTTTCATATGCATTGAAATCGTATTAATTAGTTAAGAAAATATGTTTTCTCGACTTGAATATAAAACGTACATTAATACTCGTACATACGTATTATTTCCACTCCGGACAAAAGTACTTCTAACTTTCTAGGGAAAACTGTCAAATAAGTCCATCTACTATTACCAAAAAGTCAATTGAGTCCACATACTTTCTATTGAATCAATTAAGTCCATAAAGTGTCAAATTTTAACCAAATCAACCTTTCGACCGGTAATCAATAGGTTTTCCGGTTAGATCATCCACATGGCTTTTTTTCTCATTGTTTTTTCCTTTTCTACCTTTTCTTTTAATTCATTTTTCACTTCCCCCTATTTTTTTCTCTTTCCTTGGTTCCCTCGTCTACTGCAATTCTAGCAATCCAGGAGTTTGGCTTTCCTTAGTCCTTCAATCCCCTCCCTGGCGGATCCACCAGTCTATGGGGCTGGGGCCGTGGTGGCTATGGGGGTAGGGGTGGCGGAGAGAGAAGCCACGGAGGTAGGGGCGCCGGAGGAGATGATGCGGAGGTGGTGGCGATGGAGGTTGGGGCGGTTGCAGGTCGCTCCAATTGAGGAGACGAAGGCGGAATTCTGTGGAGGTGGTTGTCGGGATGGTCGGGTGCGGCATATACGGAGGTCGGGGAAGTTGGAGGTCGCTGCAGTGGATAAGATGGAGGTGGAAGCGGAGTGGTTGTTGGAGGGGCCGGTACGGAGTTAGAAGCGACGGAGATGGAGGTCACGTGCGGAGAAGGTGGCTACGAAGGCGCACGGCGGAGATGGAGATCGTGGTGGTGACCGGTTTGGAGGGTGGGGCGGCAGAAATGGAGGAAATGGAAGAAAGGGACCACATGTGGCGGTGGGGGGCTGAAACGTACTGAATGCAGGGAGTGGAGCGTGGAGACGGAGGAATGAAAGCAGAGAAAGACCGGTTAAGAAGTGGAAGAGGAGAAACAACAAAGAGAAAAAGGGAAGAAAAGAAAAAAAGGAAATATAAAAAATAGGAAAACAGTAAAAAATGCCAGCTGCACGATCAATGTTGGCTAGTAACCGGAAAACCGGTCCATTACCGGTTAAATGGGCGATTTGATGATTTTTTAATACTTGATGGACTTAATTGATTCAATAGAAAGTATGTGGACTCAATTGACTTTTTGGTAATAGTAGATGGACTTATTTGACAGTTTTCCCAACTTTCTAAGAAGCTAATCAACCAGAGTACTGTGTTTCAATAAATTAAAGTTTAGGTTAGTGGTTTGGTAGTCAGATTTTATAGGTATTTGGTAGCCAATGTTTTTGACTAAACGTTAACTTTTTACTCTGCACTTTGTAAATACGTAGTAAAAAAAGCTGGAGATATTACCCGAAATAAGACTAAAAAAGTTTGCAAATTGGAGCATATTACACAAGTATATGCTTACTCGCATATTCATTATACGTTTAGAGCATCTTCAGAATTTACATGTTGAAGATGACTGCTATAAACTGTTTTAGATCTTCCTCAACTTACGTCTCGCACACACTCAAGTTACATAAGGATTTGTCTAATGTTACATATTTTATATCGTGAGTTACATGTCAACTTTTTTTAACAAGTTACATATGTTTACATTTGATTTACATTTTCCAAAACGCGTGTTACACCACAATATAATGCGAGTTACACAGCACAATAAGCCTCTGCTATTCAAATCAAAATCATTTTTATAAAAAAACATTTTTATAACCTTGATATTAAAAACAAAACATATACACTATTTATGCAAAATAACTGGA